TTGAGAGATCACGGTGTATGGTTGCTGCTGTAACTTGAGAGATCACGGTGTATGGTTGCTGCTGTAACTTGAGAGATCACGGTGTATGGTTGCTGCTGTAACTTGAGAGATCACGGTGTATGGTTGCTGCTGTAACTTGAGAGATCACGGTGTATGGTTGCTGCTGTAACTTGAGAGATCACGGTGTATGGTTGCTGCTGTAACTTGAGAGATCACGGTGTATGGTTGCTGCTGTAACTTGAGAGATCACGGTGTATGGTTGCAGCTGTAACTTGAGAGATCACGGTGTATGGTTGCAGCTGTAACTTGAGAGATCACGGTGTATGGTTGCTGCTGTAACTTGAGAGATCACGGTGTATGGTTGCAGCTGTAACTTGAGAGATCACGGTGTATGGTTGCTGCTGTAACTTAAGAGATCACGGTGTATGGTTGCTGCTGTAACTTGAGAGATCACGGTGTATGGTTGCTGCTGTAACTTGAGAGATCACGGTGTATGGTTGCTGCTGTAACTTGAGAGATCACAATGTATGGTTGCAGCAGCAACTTGAGAGATCACGGTGTATGGTTGCAGCAACAACTTGAGAGATCACGGTGTATGGTTGCTGCTGTAACTTGAGAGATCACGGTGTATGGTTGCTGCTGTAACTTGAGAGATCACAGTGTATGGTTGCTGCTGCAACTTGAGAGATCACGGTGTATGGTTGCTGCTGTAACTTGAGAGATCACGGTGTATGGTTGCAGCAACAACTTGAGAGATCACGGTGTATGGTTGCAGCAGCAACTTGAGAGATCACGGTGTATGATTGCAGCAACAACTTGAGAGATCACGGTGTATGGTTGCTGCTGTAACTTGAGAGATCACGGTGTATGGTTGCAGCAACAACTTGAGAGATCACGGTGTATGGTTGCAGCAGCAACTTGAGAGATCACGGTGTATGGTTGCAGCAACAACTTGAGAGATCACGGTGTATGGTTGCTGCTGTAACTTGAGAGATCACGGTGTATGGTTGCAGCAACAACTTGAGAGATCACGGTGTATGGTTGCTGCTGTAACTTGAGAGATCACGGTGTATGGTTGCAGCAACAACTTGAGAGATCACGGTGTATGGTTGCTGCTGTAACTTGAGAGATCACGGTGTATGGTTGCTGCTGTAACTTGAGAGATCACGGTGTATGGTTGCTGCTGTAACTTGAGAGATCACGGTGTATGGTTGCAGCAGCAACTTGAGAGATCGCGGTGTATGGTTGCAGCAACAACTTGAGAGATCACGGTGTATGGTTGCTGCTGTAACTTGAGAGGTCACAATGTATGGTTGCTGCTGTAACTTGAGAGATCACGGTGTATGGTTGCTGCTGTAACTTGAGAGATCACGGTGTATGGTTGCTGCTGTAACTTGAGAGATCACAATGTATGGTTGCAGCAGCAACTTGAGAGATCACGGTGTATGGTTGCTGCTGTAACTTGAGAGATCACAATGTATGGTTGCAGCAGCAACTTGAGAGATCACGGTGTATGGTTGCAGCAACAACTTGAGAGATCACGGTGTATGGTTGCTGCTGTAACTTGAGAGATCACGGTGTATGGTTGCTGCTGTAACTTGAGAGATCACAATGTATGGTTGCAGCAGCAACTTGAGAGATCACGGTGTATGGTTGCAGCAGCAACTTGAGAGATCACGGTGTATGGTTGCTGCTGTAACTTGAGAGATCACAATGTATGGTTGCAGCAGCAACTTGAGAGATCACGGTGTATGGTTGCAGCAACAACTTGAGAGATCACGGTGTATGGTTGCTGCTGTAACTTGAGAGATCACGGTGTATGGTTGCTGCTGTAACTTGAGAGATCACAATGTATGGTTGCTGCTGCAACTTGAGAGATCACGGTGTATGGTTGCTGCTGTAACTTGAGAGATCACGGTGTATGGTTGCAGCAACAACTTGAGAGATCACGGTGTATGGTTGCAGCAGCAACTTGAGAGATCACGGTGTATGATTGCAGCAACAACTTGAGAGATCACGGTGTATGGTTGCTGCTGTAACTTGAGAGATCACGGTGTATGGTTGCAGCAACAACTTGAGAGATCACGGTGTATGGTTGCAGCAGCAACTTGAGAGATCACGGTGTATGGTTGCAGCAACAACTTGAGAGATCACGGTGTATGGTTGCTGCTGTAACTTGAGAGATCACGGTGTATGGTTGCAGCAACAACTTGAGAGATCACGGTGTATGGTTGCTGCTGTAACTTGAGAGATCACGGTGTATGGTTGCAGCAACAACTTGAGAGATCACGGTGTATGGTTGCTGCTGTAACTTGAGAGATCACGGTGTATGGTTGCTGCTGTAACTTGAGAGATCACGGTGTATGGTTGCTGCTGTAACTTGAGAGATCACGGTGTATGGTTGCAGCAGCAACTTGAGAGATCGCAGTGTATGGTTGCTGCTGTAACTTGAGAGGTCACAATGTATGGTTGCTGCTGTAACTTGAGAGATCACGGTGTATGGTTGCTGCTGTAACTTGAGAGATCACGGTGTATGGTTGCTGCTGCAACTTGAGAGATCACGGTGTATGGTTGCTGCTGTAACTTGAGAGATCGCAGTGTATGGTTGCTGCAGCAACAACTTGAGAGATCGCGGTGTATGGTTGCAGCTGCAACTTGAGAGATCACGGTGTATGGTTGCAGCTGCAACTTGAGAGATCACGGTGTATGGTTGCTGCTGCAACAACTTGAGAGATCACGGTGTATGGTTGCAACAGCAAATTGAGAGATCACGGTGTATGGTTGCAGCTGCAACTTGAGAGATCACGGTGTATGGTTGCTGCTGTAACTTGAGAGATCACGGTGTATGGTTGCTGCTGCAACTTGAGAGATCACGGTGTATGGTTGCTGCTGCAACTTGAGAGATCACGGTGTATGGTTGCTGCTTCTATTTGGCGATGAAAATCTGGGTGATTCTTATCGCTGTTAAACATTAAGTTTGCCGAGCCAATCAAAGCTGTCCAGTTAGGTTAAATTAGACGCTGTCCTATATGAAATTTACTTCAGGGCCACAATCTCTCTAGTGGCCCTCTCCCAACCACTTGGATTGGACGGTAGAGCGACGGTCTCGTTTCATGCAGGTCAGCGTTAAATTCCCGACCGTCCAAGACGTTGGGCATCATTCCTTACCTTAGTCCCATCACAAATCCTTATTCTGATCCCTTCCAAATGAAATATAGTCGTAATGGCTTGGTGCTTCCTCCTGATAATTCCTTTCCCTTCTCTAGTGGACTCGACGAGGACAGGAAGCCGGCGGTTTATCAAAGGTCCCTTCCATTTGTCCTAAGGATTTTGTCGAGGTGGACCTTAATGTTTAGCAAAGTTTTTGGCATCTACGGCTTCGGCGGGTAGGCAGTTCCATGGGTTTATATCTCTGGGGATAAAAAAAACTCCTGTTTTCTACCCTACACTGTGGGTTGTTGAGCTTGAATCCGTAGCTAGTTGTTTGTGCTGAAGATAATCAACTTCTGGGATAATCACAAGTAAGCGTTATGTTTGTTACAGGTATGACGATGGTGTGGGCGACTGTTGGCGGGACGGTGGTGTGGGCGGCAGCGGCCATGTTGGTGCTCCCGGCACCTGGTGCCCGGTGTTCACCTCCCGCCCACGTCTCGGATCCGTCCGTGATTGACGCAACATCCTTGAGCGTCAGAGACTTGCTCAAGCCACACTTGAATGTTGGATACGTTCTCAAACCTCATGTGAATGCTGGAAAACTTCCCAATAAAGTAGTGAACGTTGTATACTTTACCAAACCAGTCGTGCAAGATGAAGACGTTTACAAACCAACTGTGAATGATGGAAGCCTTCACAAAGCAACTGTGAATAGTGGAAAGCTTCCTAAGTCAACCGTGAATAATGGAAAACTTCGTAAACCAAATATGCATAATGAAAACCTTCCTAAACCAACTGTGAATATTGGAAACCTTCCAAAACCAACTGTGAATGATGGAAACCTTCCTAGACCAACGGTCAATGAAGGAAAACCTCGCATGACGGGTGTAGAAATCATAGTTCTTCATTCAGATGCCGCTGAGGCAAATGTGGCCGCTAGAGACATGGTGACCACCCTCGACCCACTGACAGAGTTTTGTCTAGAGGCATGCCAGGAGGGCGTGGGCGGCCCCGAGTGTGACTGTCATCCCGACCCCGACCGTCGCTACCTCGTTTCGCCTTACGATATGTCCAATGGACCAAATGTTCACAAACTGAAGCCAGAGCAGCTTTCCAGGCCAGCGAAGCCTGAAGTTCCAGATAGAGATGAAGGGGTGACAAAATCCCATGACCAGGACCCCACCACCACCCTGAGCGACTACTGTGTGGTGGCCTGCACGAAGGGACAATACAACGTCGCCTGTAACTGTCCAAACCACATCAGTGGTCGACGGTCCGTCGTTCAGCGGGAGTCCGTTTCTCCTGGAAGTTACCATACTGGCTCCAAACTGTTGCAGAGTCGTATTAAACTGTTGCTCAATAGAAGCAAACTGTTGTTCGGAGGTAACAAACTGTCGCACGACAGCAACACACTCTCACACTAAGGAAGCAAACTGTCTTCACTCTGTGAGAAGTCGTGCCGCCAGGGGCTGACTTTCTCAACCTGTGAGTACAACATCACCTTCCGTCTGAGAATTTGTGGCGTGGTCAGCAGCGGTCACAGAGTGAAGCACTTGGCACAGGAGCCTTAGTGGGGGTTTAAATTCCCTTAAAAACAAAACAAAAATCTATATAAATATATAACTGTGGAGTCCAACCATAATAACTGTGGAGTCCAAACATAAATTTTGGACAGGCACTATCTACGTTTTAGTATGAATGGAGGAGATTCCCCATTTCACAGATTTTCCACTTTTTTTCACCTCCGGCCAAATTGAATAAGTTGTTGAAATTATTAAGACACCATTTTTTAAAGGAAAAACTTTACATATATTATATATATATATATATATATATATATATATATATATATATATATATATATATATATATATATATATATATATATATGTCGTACCTAGTAGCCAGAACGCACTTCTCAGCCAACTATGCAAGACCCGATTTGCCTAATAAGCCAAGTTTTCATGAATTAATGTTTTCTCGACTACCTAACCCACCTAACCTAACCTAACCTAACTTTTTCGGCTACCTAACCTAACCTAACCTATAAAGATAGGTTAGGTTAGGTTAGGTAGGTTAGGTAGTCGAGAAAACATTAATTCATGAAAACTTGGCTTATTAGGCAAATAAGCCTAATATATATATATATGTTAATAAGCTATATATTAATATATAATATTAATAAGCTATATATATATATATATAAGACATATATATGTTAATAAGCCTAACATATATATATATATCTGTCAGACTCGGGGGCCTTGGCGTGCGCACAGCAACACAAATTGCTGTACCAGCGTTCCTGTCCTCTTCAGTGGGGTCTGACAACTTGGTGAAGGAAATCCTACCTGAGCACCTAGTTCAACAGGCAGGGGTACATGATACCCAGCTTCACAGACTGCACAACCAAATGGGTCTCTCTCGCAGGACCAGCCCCCCAACCACCGCCTTCTGAAGCCCAGAAGCAATCCAGCTGGGATTGCCCCATTGCCGACCAAGAAGCTGCGACAACACCACATGACACTGCCCGACTTAGAGCTGTAGCAGCTCCCCATGCAGGTGATTTCCTATTACCAACCCCAATGTCAGCAACCAGCACCCGTCTCACACCGCAGGCCCTCCGAATTCCTGTGGCTCTCCGCCTAGCTGCCCCAATCCACACCAAATACAGGTGTATTTGAGGCGAGGCAGAGGCCGACAGATACGGACGGCATGGCCTTCTCTGCCAAAGGACAGGAGGATGGCATGCAAGACACGGCGAGGTCAATGACATTATTAAGAGAAGCCTTACCACAGCCGGTTGTCCAGCAGAGAGAGAGCCCCGTTACCTAATGTCCCGCAATTCTGATGAGCCTGTCGGTCGCCCAGACGGAATCAGGGTGAACCCCTGGAAGAATGGTAGACAGTTGGTGTGGGACTACACTTGCGTTTCCACTTTAGCCAATACCTATGTTGACTTCAGTGCTACACAAGCAGGAGGAACTGCCAATCACCGGGAAGAGGCCAAGTCATGTAAATACAGAGACCTTGAGCACCACTACAATTTTGTCCCCATTGCCTCAGAGACACTTGGTGCCTGGGGTAAAAGTGCTGCTAGCTTTTTGAAGGAGTTGGGGTCTAAGCTAATCGAAACAACTAGAGACCCTAGAGCTGCCAGTTTTCTTTTTCAGCGCCTTAGTGTTGCAATCCAGAGAGGAAATGCTCTCTGCATCCATGGTTCCTGCCCGCCATCTGAGGAGTTGGAGGAGCTGTTCAACTTGTGACAAGCAGCCTTGTACCCTGCATGTAATCAATATTGTAACTTTTTTTGTGTAATGACATTTTCAAATAAAGTTATATATATATATATATATATATATATATATATATATATATATATATATATATATATATATATATATATATATATATATATATATATATATATATATATATATATATATATATATATATATATATATATATATATATATATATATTATATATATATATATATATATATATATATATATATATATATATATATATATATATATATATATATATATATATATATATATATATATATGTCGTACCTAGTAGCCAGAACGCACTTCTCAGCCTACTATGCAAGGCCCGATTTGCCTAATAAGCCAAGTTTTCATGAATTAATGTTTCTTCGACTACCTAACCAACCTAACCTAACATAACCTAACTTTTTCGGCTACCTAACCTAACCTAATCTATAAAGATAGGTTAGGTTAGGTTAGGTAGGGTTGGTTAGGTTCGGTCATATATCTACGTTAATTTTAACTCCAATAAAAAAATTTTGACCACATACATAATCAAATGGGTAGCTTTATCATTTCATAAGAAAAAAAATAGAGAAAATATATTAATTAAAAAAAACTTGGCTTATTAGGCAAATCGGGCCTTGCATACTAGGCTGAGAGGTGCTTTCTGGCTACTAAGTACGACATATATATATATATATATATATATATATATATATATATATATATATATATATATATATATATATATATATATATATATATATATATATATATATATATATATATATATATATATATTAGTATATTTTGGTAGCAGTCTTTCCTGTAGACATATATTATTAAATATGACCGAAAAAGTAAGATTAATAATTCTAACACGAATTTTCTCAATCTTTCGTACATTACGCTTCACTGTTGGAGGTAAATCAAAAATCACTTCTCCAAAATTCATTTTTATTTCTAGTCTGACGCGACACGGGCGCGTTTCGTAAAACTTATTACATTTTCAAAGACTTCACAAATACACAACTGATTAGAACTTGCGTTTCCCTGATTTTATATCTACATTTGAGTGAGGTGGGAAGGGTGATGTGGCATTACTTTTGAGTGAGGTGGGAAGGGTGATGTGGCATTAACACAAGACAGAACACTAGGGGATATTAATAGGGTATTAAAAGTATCAACACAAGACAGAACAGAAACAATGGGTATTGAATAGAAGTGTTTGTAGAAAGCCTATTGGTCCATATTTCTTGATGCTTCTATATTGGAGCGGAGTCTTGAGGTGGGTAGAATATAGTTGTGCAATAATTGGCTGTTGATTGCTGGTGTTGACTTCTTGATGTGTAGTGCCTCGCAAACGTCAAGCCGCCTGCTATCGCTGTATCTATCGATGATTTCTGTGTTGTTTACTAGGATTTCTCTGGTGATGGTTTGGTTATGGGAAGAGATTATATGTTCCTTAATGGAGCCCTGTTGTTTATGCATCGTTAAACGCCTAGAAAGAGATGTTGTTGTCTTGCCTATATACTGGGTTTTTTGGAGCTTACAGTCCCCAAGTGGGCATTTGAAGGCATAGACGACGTTAGTCTCTTTTAAAGCGTTCTGTTTTGTGTCTGGAGAGTTTCTCATGAGTAGGCTGGCCGTTTTTCTGGTTTTATAGTAAATCGTCAGTTGTATCCTCTGATTTTTGTCTGTAGGGATGACGTTTCTATTAACAATATCTTTCAGGACCCTTTCCTCTGTTTTATGAGCTGTGGAAAAGAAGTTCCTGTAAAATAGTCTAATAGGGGGTATAGGTGTTGTGTTAGTTGTCTCTTCGGAGGTTGCATGGCTTTTCACTTTCCTTCTTATGATGTCTTCGATGAAACCATTGGAGAAGCCGTTATTGACTAGGACCTGCCTTACCCTACAGAGTTCTTCACAACACCTATACCCCCTATTAGACTATTTTACAGGAACTTCTTTTCCACAGCTCATACATAGGTTACAGTGTTGTTGATCAATAACACAGTATTGTTAGCCCTGTGGTTCTCAACCTGTCCTGATATGAGAGTTGACTTTGTCTTGAATTATTTTTGATGCCCGGTGCTGAATTTTCTCCAATGAATCTGTCTTTCTGAAGATGAGGTCTGCATGCTTGGATGAAATAATCCTGGTGGGGCGCACCGGAGATTTCTACAGTTGAATGACTACCTTACTTTCCTTAAATTCAAAGGTACGCTTGATTATTCCTAGGGTTTGCTTATCTTTTTTTCCTGCCCATTTGTTGTGCAACTTTCAGTGAATGATTGATTCTGACTTCAAGGTCCTTTACTTCATCAATATGCTACAAGTTAATGCGGTTAATTTGGTAGTTGTGGCATGGGTTGTTATACCCCACATGCAAGGTCTTGCATTTAACGATATTAAAAAGGATTTGCCAAGCATCTGACCATTTGTGGAGTTCATGTAGATTTCTTTTAAGATCTCAATATAATTTTCACTTCCCACTTTACCATAAATCTTTGTGTCATCTGGAAATTTGATAATGTGGTTTGTTATATTCTCATCTAAGTCATCGACGTATATAACAATAAAGGTTGGCCCCAAAATGGAGCCTTGTGGTATCTCACTTATCACATTTCCCCAGTGAGAGTCATTCCCATGTGGCACAACTCTTTGTTTTCTTTGTTTTAACCATTGTTTTATCCATTCTAGTATTCACCAATTTATTTAATGTGCCTGTAGTAATATTATTCACTGATGAATTATAATTCATCTTCAGTCCAGATATAACTGTGTTCTCTATAGTGCTTAGTCTGTGATATGTATTGTTAGGATTGAGACTTATGTTGTAGTATTTTTTACTAATTATGTTATAATTATATTATAATATCGATAGTTTTCTGTTTTACTTACCTTATAATTTTGTACAATAATAATAATATAAATAATAATAATAATAATAATAATAATAATAATTATGAGACCTTTGGGGGAGAGAGGATAAACAATGAACTGAAGACAACCTCTAGTGTCTATTTATCCAGGTATAATTATTACAGTGACGACGAAGATTAATCAATTCTGTAACTAGTGAGAACTCGTACCTGGAGAGACCCGGTTGGCATGGCCAGAGGACCATTTTGATACTACAGGTGCAGCGCGTGACAGAGGCAGGACATACATGGTGGTCGCGTCTTTGCCTTGTGAGAAGTGATCCCGCACCTGTGATCCTCATACATGCTTGTCTTGGCGTCGTCTCATATGAAGATTGAACAATTTCTGCATACAAAATCTGACAGTAAATTAGGACTTAGCATGCCAGAGGCCATTTTTGATGATCATGGTTCCGATTGGACTCTTCATTGACCTAAGAAAAGCCTTTGATACTGTTAATCACATCTACCTCTTACTTAAACTCCAGCATTATGGAATCCGAGGCCTTGCCCTTGACTACATCCGATCCTATCTTAGTGACAGACACCAATATGTAACCATCAATGATACAACTTCTTCCACTCTACCAATTACCGTTGGAGTGCCACAGGGCAGTATCTTAGG